GGTGGCTGAGTAGGGCTCTGACTGTTGAAGCCTCTAATTTGTTAGGATCCATTTCCAGCCTCCAGAAAGCCCTTGCTACCTGCGCTCCTCACATGGTTCAGGATGGTGTGTCTGGAGGATCGAGCTTCCTCATGGAGGAGCTGCAGACTTTCCCTAGAGGGCTTATAAAAGCCAGTGGCATCTTGGGCATGGGCTGGCCCACAACAGGCTATGAGTTCATGTGGACTGGACAAAGACTTCATCTACTTCCCCAGCCTCTAGCACAGTACTATGACAGCAATGATGGTGACAAAGCAGGCAGATCTATCCAGGGAAAATCATGGCATACTGCAAAGTTAGAAGGAAAGGTTTTTCAGATGCTTTGTGTTGGGGGAGAAAACTGCTGCGATAATTGTGTGGACAAGGCTCTGGATGACAGTAATTTTTAGGGGCCCTTGAAGTAGGTGTTACCTTATCCCTGTGTTCCTATTGCTCCCCGGAAGACTTGGTCCAGTGGCTAACACAAAGAACACTAGAAAATTCTCCCTCTGTGGGGATGGAACATGCCAGGTAAACACTCTACCAACTCAGTCACATCTCCAGCCCAAACAGACATTTCAAGGCCTCCTCCAATGGCTCCAAAGCCCACATCTGAATACAAGGTCCATTGTAGGAAGACAGCAGGCAACAGATGTAGGAGGGCTGGCAGCTGGCTTTGGCTGGAGCAAAGGTCCAGAAACATGAGTTGGAGGTACACAATTTACACAGCCTGAATTGGGGCCCCCAGAATTCAGTCTGTGGGAAGGTATTCATCACTCATCTACCAGTCACCAACTAGCTGCTTCCTGTGGGCCAAGACAGGGCTAAAGACTTTACATGTTATCTCTTTAATTCTCACAAGAGACACAGAGATGGTGTGACTCACCACGTTACATGAGTCACCAGCTCACCTAGCTGGTGAGAGGGAGAACCAAGTAGTACACAGAGCCCTGTCTGTAGCCATAGGCAGTGCGTTCCTACCCACTGCTGCCAGTCTTGGGGCTCTGCTCTGATCAGAGATGTGGGGTGATGGTAGAGAAGGAACTTGACAAGGTATGTTCATAGAGAGATGGCATTTCCAGGAAATGGGGGCTCAGAACAAGAAGGCTTGGCTTACATATGGCTACGGGAAAGGCAAGACGTGGAGGATGACCACAAAGAAACCCTGACATGAGGCCTCTTGCTCTGAGCCAGAAGCAAGATCAAGTGACCTCTCAAGGATTCAAGACTTAGAGAAAACCCAGAGCAGCCGGGCCTGGCCCAGGCCTGGGCATGCCTGCTGACCCTGAGTGGATGGTGGCCTTGGAAACTGCCTCCTGTTCCGGTCAGGCCCAGCTGGTGTAACCTTGGAGGACCTGTGACATTTCTCTTGGCCTCAGTTCTAGAGCCAAGAGCTAATAGGGAGGGGAAAAGGATTAGAGATTCCTGAATACCTTGGGGCCCTTCCTACCTTCTCACCTCTGTTCCCAGGGTCTGGTATGGCCGATCTTCGGCTCAAGGGTCCCAATAAGGAGCCAGTCTGTCTGGCTCTGCTTTTCATTTAGGGAACAAGAGAAGATGCCTGCATGGGCCCAAGGCCCCCATCCTTTGGCCCATCCCCTAACTATCCTATCAACATAGCCCTCAAGTCAGTCAGGATGTACATTCCCTGCTCTTCTGACCTTTCATCTCCCAACTCTCAATGGAATGTGACCTGCCTTTGCTCACAGTTCCCACTGCCTAGACTGTCCTTTCCTGTCTCCAAATCCTGGCTATTCTTCAAGGTCAAGTTGAATTACAGCTTGTTACCACAAAGCCACAAAATTTGTTTAAAATTCTAGACTTACTGGACAGGGTGACACATGCCTGTCATCCTAATACTCAGCAGGCTGAGGCAGGAAAAAGCAAGTTTGAGGTCAGTCTGATCTACATAGTGAGTTCCAGGCCAGCCAAGGCTACTGCATATTGAGAAACAAAGCAGACACCCCCCCCGCCCCGCCAGAATAGAACCCAGACCCCCAAAAGAGCCATAGGGTCTGTCCAATTTGAACCATCATTTTGTAAGATGGGGAACCAGGGATGTGGGTTTAGAGTAGCCAGGTGGCAAGCTCTAGAAGGGCACTCCACCACTCACTATGACTTCCTGGGTAGAGTTTCAGTTGTCCCAGTTTCCTTTCTCTCCAGTGGGGGTCTAGCACATATTCCTTCCCAAGGCTGTTTGAGAGGTTCCTGGGGCAATGTCACACAAAGGGCCCAACACAAACATATGCTCCTTTTCTCTCCAAGTGGGCAGAGGGATGATTTCTGACCACATCATCCAGCATCTGGTACACACACAATCTGCTTCTCTCTGTCTACGGCACCTGCCATTTCCTATCAAGTGTTCCCAGGTTTTCTGTGTACTTGTTTCAACTTCCTGGGGTGGACGCTAAGCTTGGGGACAGAGCCATGTCTGCTTTGTCTCACCAGTACCTTCCACTGTTTGAGCACGGAGGGGTTCAAGATACATAGCTGAGCTGAATTACTGCTTCCCCAATGCCCAGTGTCAACACTGCTCACTGCCTGTTGGTGAGAGCAGGTCACTGTCTTCTGTGCTTAATCCTTCTGTTGACAACATGACTCCCTCTATTAATTCTCCTTTCCATGCCATGTTCCTCTCTACATCCTCCACCCTTCCTTACTCTCACCATGATTTTAACTAGGCCCTGGTACCAGAGGGTTGCCCTACACAGGGGAGCTTGTATGCCATCTTAACTAAAGAAGGGCAACTATCTCAGACCACCACAGCCTAGGTTTGTCTGTCTTTCTTCAGTGGCTCCCTGTACACCTTGGAGTCATTCAAATTCCTTGCAGTGTCTTATAGGGTCCGGCCCTGCCTATCTGGCCCTTCTTTAGCTTTATGGCCTCTACATCCGTCAGTTCTTCAGAGCCAAGTCCCTTACTGCCTCAAGTTTGAACACAATGCTGTTCCTTCTGCCTAGAACATTCTTCCCCAACTAACATCTAGCCTCTGCATCTTTCTGGCAGCAGTTTCAAGGCCTGTACAGCCTGTGGCCAGCTCTCACAGCCTCCTTGCTTGCCCTGTACCGTCCTTCCCACGGCCCTAACTACCAAATGCTCTGTACCATTTTGTGTTTACTGTCTTTCCCTCTGAACTGGAGGCCCTCTGAGGATCAAACGCCTCATCTACGATGCTCCCAATGCCTGATATGCAGGGAGGGCTGCACAGATGTCTCTGGAACTGCCTGTGTCCCTGTGAGGACAGTGCTGCTAACTCTCAGTGTTGGGTGGGGAGCAGGCCAGAATGTGGGGCTGGATGGCGTCCCAGCTCCTCCTGTGCTCAGGCCTCACTGGGTGGTTCCATTATGCACTGCACTGAGCTGTGACCTGCCCAAATACCCAGCCCCCACACCAGTTCATTTTCCCTCCCAGAGCCTAGGAGGAACGGTTTTAGGATTATTTCACATTTCTGGATTATCCATGAGACATCTCCCCTCCAGCGAGTAGGATCAAGAGTTTGACATTTTAAACCCTAAGCAGCTTCTCCCTGGCCTGCTTCAGATCTGTGGCTCTGCTGCTTGCCGTGAGACGCATGGGGAATGCAAGGCCATTTTAATCTTGGCCTGGCTTCATTAGGAAGGAAAAAATGCTGCCAAAAAGAAAAAAAAGTGTGGTCCATTGTCTCTGCCATGTAGAGCTGCAAGAGCCTAAGAGATTACTGAAGTCAATTTTCCCAAACAGATGGGGAAACAGAGGCCAGGAAGGGCACAAGCTTAAGGGCATGTAGAGGCTGGTGGCCAAACAGGGACTGGTGCTCCCTGGGGTCTCTGGGCTCCCACGCAAGGCTCTTTGCCATCTTCAGGCACCAGGACAGCTGGGGTCTGGCAAAGCGGGGGTCATAAGTTTCCACTGACTTTACTTCAGGACCCTGAGTCACCCTGGCCTCAAATGGCCTCTTCAGAGCAGGGATGGGGCTTTACTGGAGGCCTGCTAGTCCATCTTCAGGATGTGAAATGCCCAGAAGGCTTTGGGACAGCAAAGCTGATGCATGAGGGTCTCAGCCATGCTCTCTGCCACCCCGTTGCCCATTACCACATCTGGGCCAATTTTGTGACAGATCTCTTGCCCTAAAATGGGTCCAGTTGTGGCTTTACTCTGAAATCAGCTGTTCTTAAGAAGGTAAACATTTTGATCTCACAGATATTTAGGGGAATTTTCTGCCTTGTATTTTCCTTTTTGAAAAACACCAAATTCTGGAAAATACTAGAACTGATTCTCAACTATGAGGTCACAGTACCTGACAGAAACTATGTCTAAGTGTCTCACAATATTCAGCTGAACTCTTGAGAAACATTTGGCTTGAGGGACTGACTGGCCTTTCTACCTGGACAGACCCATTGGTTGCAGGTGCCTAAGGGCAGTAGGATTGCAGTGTTCTTCACACCTGGATCCTTGCCCCACGTGACCATGACCACACTGAGCCTACATCAGATCAAAGATATTAAAAAAACAGCCTTTGAGGATAAAAGGTCAAGAGAGGATCCTATGGGCCATTGTGCAAAACTCTTACAAGTATGAGACCAAGGCAAACTGGCCACACCAAAGGAGCCCTGGGTAGATGACTGGCCCTCTTCACTGATTTCCTTCACTGTGGGCAAATGTCTTCCCTTGTGGGAGATCAAGAGGTATTCCTTGCTCAAGCCTTACAAGAATGAGGGAAATGAATGCCTTGCCTTATCGGGTCTCTGTTCTCCTACCACTCCAATGATCAGGACCCCTCAATGTAATGCTGGGTTCCCCACTCAAGCACCTCATCTCCTCCCTAAGACTGTCCACAACTTCTAATCGTGAGTCCTTTTTCCTGCTACTGGGTGTCCTACCTTGTCTTTAAACCTTACAGAAGTGAAGAGCATAACCATTCCACCATCCCTGTTCATCTTTATACCTCTTCATCCTCCCCACCCCCAAGCTTCTGTCCTCTGCACCCACATCCCCAAACTCACCCAGAAACAAAACCTCGTGGTCCAGTCGGCACTTCAGTTGGCACTACAGGGAGGTGACGGTGAATGTGTCCTCAGGGTGAGGTTCCGCCATGGGCCCCAGGAAGCCGCTCTTAGGGCCCCCACCCAGGCCAGGATGCGCCTGTGGCATAAAGCCTGGATACCTGTAGGCAGTGTCCTGCAGGGGCAGCAGCGAGTCCCTTGGCACAGGGGACAGGGTTAAGTCACTAAGGAGCGGGCAGCCATAGCCAGCAGCTGCTGCAGCAGGGCCACGGGGTGGACCAGGTGGCCGGGCCATCTCCAGTGGCTCCTTGTCGGCCTTGGGCGTGGCTGGTGGGCTAGCCAGGTGGGGGGCACTGAGACACACAGCCTCCGTCCTGCCCAGAAAGTCAGCCAGCAGCCCTGAGCCCACCTTGCCTTCATAGGGTGGGCTACGGGCAGCTGAACCAGGTGGGTACCAATAGGCTGTGCCCTTGCAACTGGGGGAATCATAGTGAGGCTGGCTCAGCGGGAGGTCCCGGCAGCTCAGGTGGGCCTGGGCTGCAGCTGTGTGGCCCAGGCTGGCCCCCTGGAGCCCATGCTTGAGGGGCTCACAGGCAGTCAGTTTTGTGGGCGGTGGCCGCAGCTCTTCCTTGAAGCCGAGCGTGGGTGAACAGGTGGGCGAGTATGCTTTCTGCAGGCCAGTATCAAACACTGTGGGTGGGTGGGCCAGCGGTGGGAAATGCTTGCCATCGAGCTCGGGAGCACCCAGGCTGGGTGAATCACAATGGAAACCTTGGCCAAAAGTGCCATCAGAAGGCGTGGATGGGTTCATGGAGTAGGGTCCCATGAAGTCACAGGGGTCTCGTTCTCCCACACCAAAGGCTCTAGACTGGGAGGGCAGTGGTGACATGCTACTGTCCCCACTGTAGTAGTCAAGGCCAAGGTCTGGGCTGTCCTGGAACAGTGGATTGACTGGCTGTGGCTTGGGGATGAACTTGGCTTTGGCTGCTGCACCACCTCTCTCTTTCTTGGCTGAGCAGGCTCCACCACCTCGACCACCCCGAGGCTGCCGGGGCCCTGTGCTCCGTTTAGATGGGTAGCCAGAGGCAGTGGCTGAGGCAGATGTCGAGAAGCCTAGATGTGAGGCCTCAAACAGGTCCACCTTCTTCCGCCGTCCACGGCCAGGCTTGGAGCTGCTCTGAAAGAGGACACTCTGGTTCCAGTTGTAACCAGGGGCAGATGATGCCTCATTCCAGTCCATCATCAGTTTCTCCAGGCTGGACAGGCTTGACTGGCCCTCACTGCTCGATGCCTCGCTGTTGGCACGCCGAAAACCACTACCACCGACTGGCTGATTGAATTGGGTGCTGTCGGAGGACGACTCGGAGAACGTCTCGGACACGGCCGTCTGCTGCTTTACCTTCTGTGGTGTATAGTTGGAGATGTCCAGGATCACATTGGGCTCGCTGACATGGCAGTCGAAACTGGGATTGTAGAGCTGACTAAAGGCCTCTGAGGCCCAGTCCAGGCCTCCATAGCCCTGCCGGAAAGGCCACTGAGAAGCCCCCACAAACTGCCGACAGTTCTCAGGTGAGGGCTGAAAGGAAGAAGAGGAGGAGGAGGCGGCAGAGGCTGCGGAGGTGGCAGAAGCTGTGGTGCCCTTGGGCACCATGTAGCCACCAGGCGAGACAGTGCTGGCCCGACTATCACAGCGCAAGGGTGTAGGGGCTGACCCAGAGAAGGGGCCTCCTTCAGAGCTGTTGAAGAAGGAGGCCTTGCTGGGTGGCAGGCAGGGACCCCCAGTAGGTGGTGGGGCATAGCCAGCGCTGTGGGCGCTGCTGGGTGAGGCAGGAAGGCTGTTGCCACTGCCATAGGCGAAGCTGCAATCCTTGCTGTTAGCACAGTCCTGGCCCGAAAAGGCTTTAGCTGGGGCAAACACGCTTTGTCCAGCCCCATAGCCACCATACTGTGGGGGGTAGGTGTTGGCAGGTGGGTGGGTTGTAGGAGAGCGAGCCACAGCTGAAGGAGGGGGAGCCAGCTTTGGGAAGGTCTCAGCTGCCCGGCAGTCTGAAGTGGCTGGGGTTATCCCATAGCTTGTTGCCCGTCCTGGTGGGAAAGTCTGGCGAGTGGGCAGGACAGGCTGGAAGGAGGGGTCTGCCCCAGCTGCACTGCTGCCCACCGCCACTGGGCTGGCCTTAGCTCCCCGACTCGGGAAGGTGGCCAGACCCCGCTGAGCAGGCAGGGCACTGGAGGGAGGCCCTGCATAGGTGCCTGATGCCTTCCGGGACTCTGGGCGAGAGGCTGAGAGGGCAAAGTCCAAGAGGTCAGAGGAGTCATCTGAGTCGAGCAAGGAGCGAAAATAACCAGTGAAGAGGTTTTGGCGCTCCTGGCTAAGCTCTGTCTGACCCGATGGTGCACCCGTGTAGTAGCTGCCACGGCCTGAAGCCCCACTCTCTAGCCCAGCAGAGGCAAAAGCCCGGGCCTCGGTCCCCTGGTACCCACAGTTTCGGCCAGCTTGCCCACCTGGGTGCCCATGATGAGGGGCCCAGCCACCACCTTTGTCCCCAGGCCACTCAGCACCTGCCTCCCCAAAGCCTGGGCCACTTGGCACCTGCTCTGGGAACAGAGTCCCATTCTTCCGGGACCGCCTCTTACGCTTGGGTTTCCCAGTCACGGCATCCACCTCCCCCCTGCCCCTTTTGCGTGGGTGCCCCAACTCGGTGAGACCAGGTCCCCCAACCCCAGTAGCTGCCACTGCTACCACCTTCTTTTTCTTGCCAATGCCCTCAAAGAAGTCACTGAAGGAACATCGGGCTGCCTTGGCTGCATGACCTCCACCCCGGCCTCCAAAGCCTCCTGTTTTGCCCCCACGCCGCCGGAAGCCCTGCACGCGATGCAGGAAGTGGGAGATGCTCTGGGTATCTGGGGCCTGGTGCACAGACTCAGGCTCACTGGGTGTCCAGCAGCGGGGTGGTGAACACCGCCCAGCACACTGGCTCTGACGGTTCAAGAACGCCAGCTTGGCGAGGACGTCAGAGTACTCAGCCTTACTATCATTGGCATCCGCTGCATAGGATGGCTGGGGAGATGCCAGCTTTTGCTTCCGTCTCCGCCGTTTCTTCACCTCTGGCATGGCCATGGTAGCTGCCGCCACAGTGGCTGCCTCAGCAGCTACCACTGCTGGCTCCTTGGGCTTGCCAGGACCCAGCAACAGGTTCTTCGGAGGGCGGCCACGCTTACGCTTGAGAATAATAGGCATCTCACCCGGTGGGAAGACCACCACCACATTCCTCCCATTGTTCTTCATCTTTAGCAGAGGGGTGGGCTCTGCTGACACACGCAGGCCCAGCTCCTTGCCCTCCACACTCAGGCTGCTGCTCAAGGATGACACCTTGTACGTGGTCTTGTTCCGCCGCCCCAGTGATACGGGGATCTTAGCCATCTTCACCACCATGCGCCGCACACCCCGACACTTGCCTTTGCGGGTGGGGACCAGAGGGGTCTGAGAAGATTCTGATTCCAGCTCTGGCACTGGGCCTGGACCAGACAGAGCAGGAGGTGGTGGAGGTGGTGGTGGTGGGGGTTCAGCCAGGGCAGCGGCCAGCCCAGTAGGCATAGGCAGGGGTAGCAAGCGACCCTCAGGTCCTGAGTCTGCCTTCCGCCCTCTTCCGGCTTTCCGCCGGCGACACAGGATCTTTGGCCTATCAGTGCGCCGCAAGGCGTACTTGGGGTGACCCTCGGGCCCTGGGGGGCCGTGAGGTGAGCACAAGTCCAGGCGTAAGGGCTCAGCCAGTTGGCAGTGCCCCAGGGACTGCTGGGGCTCTAGATGGCGGCTAGGGACATCCAGCAACTTGGGCAGGGGGTCAAGTGCCTGGGGGTCAAGTAGCTGGGACTCTAAGGAGTCAGGTAGGGTATCGAGGGCCTGTAAAGCCAGGCTTGGCAGCCCCAGAGGATCAGCAAGAGGTTGCAGAGGTGGCAGCTCCAAACCTTCCCCTAGTGGCTCTAGCGACTGTGGATCTAGGAAGCGAGGCTGGGGGTCCAGGAGCTGAGGCTCAGGCTCAGGCGATGGTGGCTCAAGAGCCTGGGCCTCTAGCAGCTGGGCCTCAGGGCAGGTAAGGGAAGCTAATTCACTGAGGATATCAGCATCTGCAAGTTCAGAGTAATCAGGCCCATCTGGCTCAGACTCTGGAGGCAGACCAGTGGCCGTGGCTGTGGCTCCAGGACCATGGCCTTGGCCAGGCTGGGGACTGTCCCTGGGCTCAGGCTCAGGCTCATAGAGCGGGTGGTTGGGCCGCTCTGACTTGGCATGAGGGGTGGCACGCTCCTCAGGGCTGCGGATGCTGTTGGCCAGGCTGGGTGAGGAGAAGAAGCTGTACTGCAGGTCGCCGGGTGGTGGAGCAGGTGGGCGGCTCAGCCGCAGCCCACCACAGTCCAGATGCACACCACTGTGTTGCAGGTCCTGGGAGAGCCGTGTTAGGTCCTTCATGATGTCAATCAGCTGCACCACTGGATGCAGGTTCACACGGCCGTTGTCCCAGTGGTGGAGGGAGTTGCTCTCTCCGGCAGGTATGGGACAGTGGGCCTGGGAGACAGGCCTGGTGGCCCTCGGGGGCAGCAGGTCGTCCCCCTTGGCAAGTACTGCTGGACGCCGGGTGTTGGGGTCCCGGCGTGGGGGTGGGCGTGGGTTCTCAGAGAAGGTGTGGGTGGAGAAGGCCTTGTCAGGTGGGCTGGCAGGTGGCCGGGTAGGAAGCAAGGGCCGAGGGGTAGGAGGGCCGCCGGGGTAGTACTTGGGCTCCCGGAGGTAGTCAGGAGAGCTGCACACGGCACTGGAAGTCACCACCAGGCCCTGGGGCTTCACACGCATCCTGACCTTGTCCTCCGAGGGCCGCCGGGCGGGGCCGGGGCTGACATGAGGGTGCGAGAAGCCGGGACTAGGACCTGCAGGGAAGGAGAGGCAGGAGGTCCTTCACTGAGCATCTATATCTTCATCAGCTTCCCATATCCTAATGAGTCCTCCAGATTTCTCTCCATGGTCACAGTGTCCCCTACTATGTTCTAGCTCCTGCTCAAGCCCAAACTGCTTGCAGATCCCTACCCATGTGTACGTAGTGAACTCCTCATGGGCCCCAGTAGCATGTGGGGACAAATGACCCCCTTCTATACCCTAGCTGTGGGATCAGGAAGACAGGATCTCTGTCTTTGAGAGAGGGAGGCCTATCAGCAGGGCAAAGTGATCACTTCATATAAACTTAAGCAGGAGGCCAGTAAGACTTATCATAGCCATACACTCCTTCCTTCTCACCCCCATCCCCAGGGCACCAGAACTCTGGCCACTCACCCTCGGCTCTGCCGCCTGGGCTGTCACACTGGAGATCTCTGTGGGCAATAAGACACATAACAGATCTGAATTTTCCACATGTTTTTAAGGCCCACCTGCATATAGTCCAGCCTCCTTCAAGTGCCACCCCAGCTCCCTCAGTGCTTCCTCATGGCTGACCTGGGATAGAGAGGGTCCCCGTGCTCGGGGACTCTGCCAGTCGCTGGCTGTCAGATGGAGGTGTTGCAGAGCAACTTCGGCCTGAGCCCAGGCCTCGGGGTGTGGACAGCGCCTGGAAAGGACCACCGCAGCTCAGGTTTAGTGAGCACCTACTGCACGCCAGGCACTGGGCTGGAAGCTGTCCAGGCATTGCTTCATTTAATTCTTCTTACCAATCCTGCGAGGTAGGGGCTATTAATAACCCCATTTTGCAGATGAAGAAATGGAGGCTCAGATACGAAGTAGCATCATTCATTCATATGTTCATTACTTAAGGAATGCCTACTTTGCACAAGGTCTGGATAGACACTAAAGAAATAACCATATAAGCTATGTAGTTATTAGTGGGATAAGCATGCAAAGAAAAAGTGAAGTGGGATCAGAGGTCCAGCAACAACCAGGAAGTTGACAATAAAAGTCTGTACTTTGGGGACACTTCTCTATTGCCAATACTGGGTCAAGCTCTTTAATAGATTACCTTATCTAACCTCCCTGCCAACCTGAGATCAATATAATTATCCTGCCCATTTTTAAAGAAACCATCTACTGAAGGTTCTAAGCACTATGAGGGCAAGGTTATCTGTTCTGTCCCCTGCTGTAGCTTTCAAAATCTGGAACAGTATGTGGCCTACTGAAGTGTTCAAAAAGATATCTGGCTAGGCGTGGTGGTGCACACCTTTAATACAAGCACCCAGGAAGCAGGCGTATGTCTGTAAACTCAGCCCTTCGAGGCAGAGGCAAGTGGATATCTATGAATTCAAGGCCAGCCTGGTCTGCATAGTGAGTTCTAGGCCAGCTGGGGCTACAGGGAGACTCTGCCCCCCACCCCCAAAAAAGAACTAAACCAAAACAGAACAACAACAAAAGATGCTTTGTTTTTTAGTATGTGTGCATATGTAGGTGTGGGCCCATGTGTGCCACAGAGCATGTGTGGAAATCAAGGGACAATTTGAAGAAGTGATTTTTCTACTTCTACCACGTGGGACCGAGGGATTGAACTCAGGTTGTCAGGTTCAGCACCATGAACCTTTACTCATGGAGCCATCTTGCAAGCCCTGTTTGTTGTTTTTTGAGATAGGGCAGTAGACAAAGATGTGCTACTGTGCCTGGTTCTCATGAAGTTCTTCCAGCCTTGGTCTGGCTCCTGTCAGGCCTCTCAGAGTCCTATCTATTTCACCTTCATAGTATTTATCACAACTGTAATCAATTACTTGTGTGACTGACTATTTAGTGTGTCTCCCCTGAGAGTGTGGGCTCTTCTGGGTTAGGAATCACATCTGTCTTGTTTACTGCTGTATCTTCTGACCCCAGAGCCTGGGCTATGAATGCTACATAAATATTTACAGAGTGACTCCCTGAGCTGGTAGGGGCAGAGCTAGGATTTAGATTCAGGCATGTTTGATTCCCAAAGGAGCCTGAAGACTCAGAGCTGGGCTAGTCCCCAGGAGCTAGGATCTCAGGGAGCTGAATAAGCTCTAACTGCTGGAGGGTCTTAGAGACCAGCACTAATCACAGCCTAGTGTTTGGCCTTGACCTAGTGCTGGATCCACAAGGCTCACACCCTACTGACAGGCTGCTACATTGCCCAGTGCTGTCCCACAGGAGACTGCAGGGCTGACTCAGGGACAGAGCAGTGTAGGAAAGGACATTCCTCTGAGCTCTTGTGGTAGGTGAACAATTTGCAATCCACTGAAGTTTCTAAGCACCATGAAGACAAGGCTTTCTCTCTTGCTCACTGCTTGCACCTATCTCCCAATGCCTGAAACAGCATATGGCCCAGAGTGGTGAGTAGCAATTTGTAATCCACATATATGACCCACCGAATCCTCAAAGCAACCCGGGAGGCATGCATGGTTTATTATCCCTTAGCTACAGAACAAACAGGCCCAGAGCCCTTGTGAAACTCGCCTACAGTCACACAGCTGTTCAGAGGCAGGCTTCCTAATTCTCGCCAAGGCCAAAGCCTCTCTCCATTCTCAGCCCCTGCAATTCTCCTTCAGCCACTTCTGGGAAGGCTCCTTCTAGAGCTGTGGTCTAATTTAAGGTTGGGAGGAACCTTGAAATTATCTAAGCCATTGGCTTCCAAACCCTGAGCCCGGGGGAGCTGTGTAAACTCCAGATACCCAGGCCCTAGTCCAGGGGAGCCTGACTCACACATTTGAGGGACATCTGGGAATCTGTCTTTTTAATCTGTTCCCCCAGTGGGTACCCTGTTCTAGCGCCATTTTATAGAAGAGAGAAATGAAAGGGAAAGAGGGGAAGAGACTTTGCTTGAGACTACAAATGGCACACGAAGGACCCTTGCTGCTCATCCAGGTAAATCTCCATTTCTGTTTGCTGTCTTAGATCCTAGGCCTTAGCCTTCCCTCAGTTTCACTTGGTAACTCAAGGCTATGCTCTGTCCCATGCCTTGCTGTGGACCTGTCCCCTTCCAGCTCAACACTGCTGCTCTTCTTTGTTTTTTTCTTTTTTGTCTTTTTGAAGCAGGGTCTCCCTGTAGCCCCAGCTGTCCTGGAACTCACTATGTAGACCAGGCTGGCCTTGAACTCAGAGATCCGCCTGCCTCTGACTCCCAAGTGCTAGGACTACAGGTGTGTGTCACCACGACCGGCCTGTTTTTGTTTTTTTAAGACAGGGACTGCCTGTAGCCTCATCTGGCTTGTAACTCACTGTGTAGATCAGGCTGGCCTTAATTTCAACAGCGATCTGCTTGTCTCTGCATCCTGCATGCACCTTTACTCCCAACTGTTATTTTATTTTTTTTGGTCTTTTTGAGACAAGGTCTTCCTGTAGCCCCAGCTGTCCTGGAACTCACTATGTAGACCAGGCTGGCCTTGAACTCACAGAGATCCACCTGCCCCTGCCTCCCAAGTGCTTGGACTAAAGGCGTGCGCCATCACGCCTGGCTTTTTTTTTTAAAAAGACAAGGTCCCACTATGTAACCTGGAACTCCCTATATGCCAGGCTAGCCCAACAGGCAGCTATATAACCGACAATAACCTCCCTAATGGGATCACAGGGCATGTCACCATGCTCCTTTTATGTGGGGATGGGACCCAGGGCTTTGTACATGCTAGGCAAATAAATACTCTACCAATTGAACTACATTCTTCAGCCCCCACCACCTTTTTAAAAAAAATAAGACAAGGCCGGGCCTTTAATCCCAGCACCCAGGAGGTAGAGGCAGGTGGATCTCTGAATTCAAGGGCAGCCTGGTCTACATAGTGAGTTCCAGGTAAGCTGGGACTACAGGGAGACCCTGTCTCAAAAATTAAATAAATAAATAAATAAATAAAATAAAATGTCTTACTCTGTAGCCCTCAGTGGCTTGTAAATCACTATGTACACCAAACTGACCTCAAACTTACAGCAATCCTCCTGCCTCTGTCTCCCCAGTGCTGGTAGCATGCACCACCACACGCAGACACAGCTAATTCAGCTATTCTTACAGGAAGAACACCTAATAGGAGTGTGGAATCACCAAGTCAACTTTCCAATGGTAGGCTTGCCCTGGCTTTTGGAGGCACCTACCAGAAGTGGCCATTCCTCCCTTGCTGTGGGTGGGGCTCATCAGGCCTTCCTGCTCTGGAGACCTCCCACTTTGGGGCCTGAGGGTGTGATCTTGGCAAAAGAGACAAACCTCCTCTCCAGTGGTTGCTTCTGTTCCACCCACCCGTGAAGACCTTTGGCCACATCCTCCTGACTGTCCACTGCTCTCTTCTGCAGCCTCCAGGATCTGAGGGAAGTAGTTGGCTTTCTTCCCCACCACACCCCACAGGCAGCTATTCTCTTGGCTCCTTCCCAAAGGTACCACCTAGCCCTGGTCTATGAACGAAACATCAAAATGGTCCTCTGTGTGGCAGTCTGCTCCTGGATTAGTGTCTGAGCTTGCCTACAGGGACACCAGCCTGCTAGGAAGGGGCCCCAACCTGCAGTGCACAGTGCCGGGAAGCGCCAGCCCACATCCTTGATCCCCAGCCCCACCCTCCCCGCTGTGGCTATGACCACCCCACCCCTTCCCCAGTCCTCCTCCCCATCCCCCACCCCCAGCCTCCCCAGGGGAGCCAAGCTGCCAGCCCCAGCTCTTGCTTCCGGCCTCATGACCCTCTCTCCAGCTCCCCCTCCCATTTCCCTCTGTTGGTGTGAAGGCCCAAGGATGTCCCCAGCCTCCTAACAGTGGGAAACACTGCAGCCCTGAGATCTTCCTCTTTACCTCTCTATCCCTTTGAAAGCTTTACCTCCTAAGATCAAGTCCCCCCCCTCAGGAAAGAGGCATCATCCTCTTGGGTCTAGCACCCACCTAACCAGAAGATCTTCTAGCAACTGGATTCCAGCCCTAAATCATAACAAGAAATCAGTCGCTTATTTTGTACTTAAATGAGAGGTTTAGCCATGTTCTTAAGGACAAACAGCTCTGCCATTCAATTTTGTTGGGATCCTCTAAACCCAACTACTTCACTATCCAGATTCAGCTCCCTCCCAGTCTGCCTCCTCTGTCCAAGTCAACTACAAATTGTAAATTTTGACTTCTAATCTACTTTCCTCTTAGCTTCTAGACCCACCACTGTCATCTACCTGCACTACCTTCCCTCACCACTAGGTGTCCCCTTGGAGCCACTGATGCCCCAAGGGGAGCTGGTCCTGCCCCCCCCCCAGTGCTGCACTGCATACCCCACCCTACGCTACCCCTAGCCACACAGAGCTCCTTTGTGCAGCCCCCGCCCACCCTCTTCCTGTCCAGAGTGGGGCACCTGGCAAGCAGGTCTGTCCCTGAACCGCCCCCCTGCCAGCCCCTTGCCCTGGGTGCCAGGTGTGTAGGCGCCACTGCCAGTTCTCACTGGACCCGAGGGTCACCCTGCTGGCAGCCCTTCCTTCCTCCCTCAGAGGTCACCCAGGGACTGTGCTTCCCGCCCACTCCACCCCCCATCCCCTCCTGCCCTTGGCCCTTCTAGACTCCTGTCCTTGTCTTTCCTTCTGTCTCCCATAGGATTCCCTCCTCCGGCACCACCAGACTCTCCTCCTGCCTCCCGCCCCCACCCACCTCTCTCCCCAGAGAGTGTGGGTTCTGTCCCGCCTCTCCCTCCCAGGTCAGAGGAACTCCTCCCCCAGAAAGTCATTGCTAGAAAGGAAGTGACTTCAGTGAGTTGTCTACAAGGCTGGGCACTGCTGAGCCAAGCTCTGCTTAAGTCTTGCCCAGCCCACCTCCAAAACACAATCAGAGCCATGTGCACATGGCACTCCACTGTGCACCCGGAACTCTGAGCACTAGTTATACCACCCAAGGGAATTTGGGTCTTGACCTATCCAATAGCACCCTGAGGGGCACAAACAACCCACAGTATCCCCACACCTGCCCAGGACACACATCCAGTGTACCACACACTGCAGTGTACCACATGTGAAGCCCTTAACTGTCCCCTCAGCCTAGGCCACTTACGTAACTTGTATACACAACCCTATGCACTAAGGACAGAGCTCTACATAAACACCTGCTTTTCACAAACCTGAGTGCCAGCACATTTACCATCTCACATCTATCTACCCACAGCCCAGCCTCCCCTCCCTTCCCATCTCAGGAGGCCCCACCCCCAGACCTCAGGAATGCTCCTTTGGAAGTTGGGTGGGGTCCCTAGCAGGCTAAATTCTAGGGAGCTTCCTGGAGCCCCAGGCTTCATGTGTCAGTTCAGGGAGTTGCCTCTGCAGGGCAGGGCAGCCCCACCTGGTCTCTGTGGCTTGAAGCCTGGGTGGGCTTAAGAGAAGAGAGGTGGGACTTGCCATTTGCCCCACTCCCTACCAGGGAAGCTGGGCATGCAGGAACACTTGGCCTCCCAGCTCTCTGCTTCCACTGATGATAGTAAAGAGTGTCCTGGGGGGTCAGCTGTACATAGGCACTCTGGATTCCACCTCTGCCCTGAATCCTGGTCACTGTCACAACCTGTTTCTCCTCCCAGTTCTCTCAGGTCATCAAGACACAGGGAAGAATCCTCAGGCTAGAACACAGGAATCTGAGGGACTCACTGTAGTATATCCATGAGCCTCCATTCCCCTTTCTAGATAATGGGGATTTTGAGTAAGTTGGGTTAATGTTTCTTGACTTAAAGGGTCTTTTTTTTGCCTAAGCTAGGAGAGGATCCCTGCTAGACTGGCCCAGGCACAGGCTTGACTTTCTCACATGGTTAGTTACCTGAGCAGGCTCGGTAGAGGCCTGGCTCAGCAGGAAAGGCCTGTCTCCACCAGTGCCAGAGTCTCCAGGGTGGTCTCCACAGAGGCCTGAGCCGTGCCCCTCACCTGAGGCCCTCTGTACACACTCTGCTGGGTTGGCTCTGGGGTCCAGGCCGATGGGTAGACAATCAGGCAAGCTCCCATCTGCAGAAACAAATACAACACACCAGGGTAAGTGTGGAGATACAGGGTGAGCCCGGCAGGGAGCAGAAGGGACACTGAAGCAGGAAGCCATCCTAGAGGAATACCAATCTGGTGCCAATGCTATCCCACTGCACAATTGTGGATCTATCTCTTGAAACTCCAGGCTTCTGTTGGGAAGAGGTGTTTCTGCATGCCTACTCATATATGTGTACAAACTGTACACACAAGACTGTGGAAGGAACCTAGCCCTAGGCTCAATTCTCCAATCCAGGCTCCTCTTGGGTTCTCCATTTTCTCATCTCTAAAATGGGGAGAGTTATACCTCATGAATGAGGGGGAAAGCTCTGGAAGCTATCTATGTAAGAGCTTGTTTACTGTGCAGGTGTGAGTTGCCGTTCTAAGTGGTACGGATACAGATTTCCACGAGGGTGCGTATGCAGCTGTGCTTCCCTGTCTCCAGCAGCAACTGGTTATGTCTCTTGGTTTCTTTAATAACCATGGCCTTCCTCACCACCCCCTGCTTCCTGCCCATTTGTCTTGCCTCCCTGAGGTCTGTACTGAAGCCCAGAGGGGTCTGGGAACCAGGCCTTATGGATGCTTATAGGTTCTGGTTGCCTGGAAATGTGTATGTATGTGACAGAGATTGCTTGTATAAATGCAGGACAAATATTCAGTTGTCTGGGTAAGTACACCTGTATGTGGGTTCCTGGGTCTGCTCAGACTGCCTGAATGTTTCTCTGAATGTAAGGGTACAAGTATGAGGGCTCAGGTGCAGCTCAGAGGCAGAGCACTTGCCTGGCATGTACAAGGCTCTGGGTCACACTCACAACACCACAAAAGAAATAAAAAGTGTACATGTGTGGTGGGTGGTGGGATCATGTGCTTGCTCTGCAGTGGTTGGTGTGTCAGCTGTGAGTGTATGTGTGCCTGCCAGGTCAAGTGTGTGCCCAGAATCAGTGTCTTCAGTTATAAATGTGGATATGTGCACCATCTGAATTTCTATTCTATTCACCCTGTGTTTGCACTCCTGTAAGGAGACAAGGACACAGAGGTGTAAGTGCCTGTGGCCAGTGTGCCAAGCTGTAGTGTGCCTACATGTGTACACAATGCCCAGTTCTCTGCATCTCACTGGGTCAGGAGCCAAACCAGCTCCTGCCTGCCTCAGAGCTTTCTGGATGTGTTTGGCAGAGGGGTGGGGGTGGGTGGTTGATCCTCTGCTGTCCCTGAAGGTTTCCAATCTCGAGGCCTGTGACTGCAGGCACTGTTGTCACTGCAGATCAGCATTGCCTACCTCCTACCTCTGCCTTTCTGTGGGTTTTCAGGGTCATGGTGTGATGGCGTGTCTGGTCAGTGTCCCTATGGGTTTGCTTCACCATGGTCAGCATGTGCTTGCGGGTGTGTCTGTGCATGTGTGGATCTGTATGACCTTATCTTCATGAGCCTGTGCACACCATGTATCTGTATATGTTGGCTGGTTCTTGTGCTATGCCATTATATATCTGCGCCAGTAAAGCTAAGTGTCAGTGTCAACACATGTGAGGGTGTCTATGTGCCTGTCAGCACAATGGTGTTTCAGTGTTGGTGTGGTACCTTTGTGTAACTCATGGGCACAGATGATTGGGAGAGACCCTTTGTGAGACTGTGTGTGTGTGTCACTGTGTTTGTGTGTGCCTGCTTTCCTCCTCCTGCTCTGTTCTCTCTCTCTCTCTCTCTCTCTCTCTCTCTGTAGGAGCCAGACAACTCCCCAAGCCTGGATTAGGGACAATTTATCCACAGGCAAAGGAGAATTCCAACCTGCCAGAGCCTCCCTCCTCCGATCTGTACCCCCCTTTCCCTGTGGTTGGGTGGGCACAGAAACCCAACCTAGCAGCTCCCAAGCCCTCAGGGAGCCCCTACCTCTGCAGTGCCTCAGAAGCCCAGGACCACGGAAAAGGTGGAAATCTGGGTGGCCCAAGAGCCCTCCAGTGGAGGTGGACTGACTGCCCCCCCAATTAGGCCCCCATGGCTCAGCTCATTTTGGCCCTCTTCTCCTACATATGGTAGAAAGGGGGAGAGTCCACATGGGGTCTGTCTGGCCCTGGGGGCTGGGGAGGTCTAAGGAGCAGCTGCCCTCCACCCTTCCACAGCCTAATATTCCTCAACTGATAAATGCCAGTTCCCCCTAACCCACCCACCACTGTAAATAACTGGGGAACATGCAACTGTGCCCATTCAGGCTGAGAAGGGGGGGGTGTGGTGGGGGAAATGCGGCAAGGGGAAGCAGGGTTGGGCTGGGACTAAGGCTCCCTTCACGGTGCTCCAGGCTCCAGGCGCAAGGCAAAATCACATGTTTCCCATTAGCTGCTCTGGCCTCCTTGTTCAGGGGGTGTTGGCTGGGGGAGATTTGTTCTGGTTGCAGACACTAGCGGAGACCACACAAGAGAGAAAGGAGATTGAGAGACAGGAGAGACAGAGACAGAAAGAGAGAGACATAAAAGACAGAAGGACAGACGACAGAGGCTGATAATGAGAGGTAAACAGTGGGGGACAGGGATAAGAAGCCAGGGGGAGGGTGAGCAGAGACAGGCCAGAGATGGGAGACAGGCATGGGGTCAAGCAGAGAATGAGTTCAGGCCAGAAGGACCAGAGAGAGGGAGGGAGAGAAGCAGAGAGCCTAAAAAGATAAGGAGACAGTGGAAGGCTGGGTAGGTGAGGGCCTTGTGGGCGGGAGCGGCCAGCCTGAGCCTGAGCCTCCCGCCTGCTGACCCTCAAGCCTCAGAGATAACAGGCCCGAATAGTGCTGACTTGCGGTTCAGAAATCCAATATCCTCCACGGCGCACTAATCGACTACCTGAGCCCCGGCCCGCGCAAGCTGCCCCGATTAATCCTGCGGCTCCACCGCCTTAATTAGTTTAACAGTTTCAGGGGCAGAAGAGGCAGGCAACAGGGTCCTAGGCCCACGGGGACACAGCCCCCACACAAGGCTGGTCTGGTGCCCCACCTCCTCAGTCACACACCTGCCGAGGCCCCTTCCACATCATCTGAAAAACATTGGGCCCTTCGTCACAGGACACAGTCCCAAGGGTTGGCACCTGGGTCAGAAGGTAGGTCATGCGGCACTGAGACCTCTACCTCCTACTCAGCCTGTGCTTAGAGCCACAAGGGTTTCCTCTGGCCAGCCCTTTGGGGCCCTGTGGTCTTTGTGGGGAGCCCCCGCCAACTGTCAGCCCCATACCACTGGGCAACATGTCTCTAGAATGAGAGACAAGCTCCCAACTCCCTGACAACTTCCCAACAGCATGAGATAATCACACATGTCACTTCCCACAACAGCATGTGAAGGGCACATGGTGACATCTCCCTCACACAACAGTCAGAGACAGGCTAGAGTCACTGACAACCTTCCTAACAGGAAGAACAAAGCCTATAACCTATAACCGGTTGCTTTCCTGAAAGTGTGAGATGGTCACATCTGACACCCCCAGGTGGCATGAGGCAGGTATCCAGTTGTCACCCCTCACAACAGTGTAACTACCACCCAATCAGGCACCCTACACCAACTGACAGGATGTGGGAATTACAGAAAACCTGTCACAGCCTACCAAAATAGCTCACCCCCCCCCCATGGGACAAGCCTCTTCCACCTGATGATAAAGCCTCTACACCACTGAAGTGTGAGGCAGGGACAGAACCTTGTCCTTTCCTTGAGTCCCCCATGCAGAATGAGAGAAAAGGGCATGGTGTGCCACCTCTCTGCCTGCTTTGGACAGGTGACAGCCCACCCACATCCTTCCCTCAGCACTGTCGCCAGCCTGGGTGGTGCTGTCTGTCTTCAGCCTACAAAGGCGTCACAGCTCACAGGGCATGAATGTCACCCCAGCAGTGCTAGAAACGGGTACAGCCACACGTTGCCCCAACGACAAACACCACTGGCCCCAGGAGGAGGTGGAGGCACACAGGGTTCTGGGTGTGACCTTGCTCCCTGGACACCAGGAGGGGAGGTTCTGTGGCTGGGTAACCCAGCAGCCAGGCTGCCAGGTGCTGGGGGAGAAGAGCATGGGGGAGGAAGCTGCCTGGGTACATAGACAACTTGGAAATGCCACCTCCCCAAGCCCCCATCCCATTTCTACTGTATATAAGGAGGGGGTAGGATAATGGCCTGAGACCCCTTTGCTATAAAGGGTATCCCTCTTTTTTATAAAGGCCCCCTCTCCAAACTTCAGGCCACAGAACTAGGGACAAGGAAGCCAAAGTCCAGGGGCATGACTCACTGGGGGAACAGGCCCAGCCTGCTGGCCAAAGTGGTGAGGGAGGCCTGAAGCCAAGAGGCCTGGGTTCAAGTTTAAGCTCCTCCCAGGCTAAGCTGGGTGACCTTGTAGCTGCAGCTCAGTCTTTTTGGCTTTGGGAAGAGGGAAGGGGGCAAGGACAAAAAGTACCCAAGTCAGAAAGAAGCTGAAGCTGGGGGCCTGGGAGTAGAAAGAGCAGTGAGCTCTACACCTGGCCCTGCTGCCTCCTCACAAGGACCCTCCCCTTGCACTTCTGTTGCCTCCTCTGCAAAGGAGGCCTTAAAAGAGTATGTGTGCCAGGTGTGGTGGCGCATGCCTTTAATCCCAGCACTTGGGAGGCAGAGGCAGGCAGATCTCTGTGAGTTCAAGGCCAGCCTGGTCTACATAGTGAGTCCTAGGCCAGCTGGGGCTATAGGGAGACCTGTCTCAAAAAGACCAAAAAAAAAAAAAAAAAAGAGCATGTGCTATAAAGTAGACTTGGAAGACAGGGAGAAATCACTGAGGGAGGAGGGGCTGGAGACTTTCCTAAGGTGCAGAGCAGATCAATGTCAGCTGAACCCTGCCTCTGTTGCCTGGCTTCACACCTGGACTGTTTCTTTAAGGCTGCCTGGAGATGTGGGGTGGGAGTGTTGAGGTGTTGCTGGATATAGGGCAGATCGCCTTAAGCTAAAACCAAGGAATCAGGAGTCTGTCTTCCCCCTCACCTTTATCCTCAACCTCACTTGGCCTACCTTCAAACTGAACTTTGGATTATTAGAGCAGCTTGAAGGGAAGGGGAAGACCACACCCTAGCCCCCCATGACTCACAAAAGTACCTGCTGCTCAGGACTAGGGGACCAGGGATGGAAGTGTTCAAGGCCCCTCACTGTATGTAAGTCCAGAGAGGGACAGACCTAGCCTGAGGTCACACAGCAAAACAGCAAAATCAAAAACTCTGATCAGGAACATTCTCAGAGCAGAGTCCTTCTAGACCCTGGGGGTGGCTAGAGCTAGGGGGCCCTGGGGGACTTAGCAAAATGTAGCGACAGATGGCCTGCCGAGGCAGCGGCGATCTGGGCGGCTGGCAGGCATGCTTGCTCCCGCGCAGGGAAGCAGCTAATTTTAGCTAAGGCCTCGATGCCAGCTTTGTTCCCCCCACCCACCCACCAAGGGGGCCCAGCATGCCTTGCGTGCAACTGGCCTCCCCCAGGCACCCCTACTCCCCCACCTGACCCCTTTGGTGAATAGTGTCCAGACCCCAGGGTCCTAGAACTTGCCTGACTAGGCCTCACCACAACCAGAGGCAAGGGTTGGGCCCAGGAGGCCTGGCTCCCTACCACCCCAGGGCCTATTGCCCATAAACTCCAAGCTCATTCCTTGAAGAAGGATGACAGGAGGAAGGTTAGAGGCCACTGACCAGACTGGGAGGGCTGGATAGCAGGGGCTCCAGTCTTAAGGAGAGGTGGACACTGTCCTCCATTCTTCACTTTAGGAGAACAGGACCCTGATTCTACCAGGACTCTAGGGTCTTTTGGGCTGCAATCCTTCTGGTATTTGTGAGCAGGGGGATGGAAGTTACTCAAGCCTTTCCTTGTTCCTCGTAACTTTGACTTTGTTTCAGGAACTCAAAGTACTTTAAAGAAGACAGAGCTAGGCTGGAAAGATGGCTCAGCAGTTAGGAGCACTGGCTGCTCTTGCAGAGGATCTGGATTCAATTCCCAACACCCACATGGTGGCAAACAACAGTCCTTAACTCCAGTTCCAGGGGATTTGATGCCCTCTTCTGACTTCCGTGGGCACTGCACCACACAGGTGCACTTACTGACATGCAGGCAATACACATTAAAAAAAAAAAAATATGTCAGAGCTAGAGCATTGTTTGGAAACTGAGCATAGCCTGAGACAGCCACCATCAGTAGGAGAGAAGACAAATCCCAGGAATCAATGAGGCCCAAGCATCCTACAGATAGCAGGCTTGTGGCTAGCTTTGCTACTACCACTCTGAGCCACTTGGGCTGCTGGAATAGTGACCTTCTGAAAGAAGCCCATCCCCAGAAACTCCACCAAGTAAGACCTAGCATTCATCCCTTGGTTCCCCACTTTCTGTAGGCTCTTTAAGTTTAGACTCTCCCCATTTCATGTTCAATTACACACACCCAGTGTGGCTTTTAGGGTGTAGAGTCCCTACTAGAAAGGGGGACTCTGGAGGGCTCCCCTCAGCTCCCCAGCCAGCAGGGCTATGAGGGAAAACAGCCCAGCAGGAAACAGAGGAAGGTGTTCTGGAAGAAATCTATGAATTTGGAGGGAGAGTTAGAGAAAAGAGAAAGCAGGAGAAGGAAAAATCAAGGTAGTGAATCAGAAAGACAGGGGGAGATCATGGGGGCAAGAGAAAAAGCTGAAGGAGAAAGAGATGCGGAGGAAGGGATAGGAGACAGAGCTGGGGAGAGGAGGGGGGGAGAGCATGCCAGAGGAAGGAAGACAGCAAGAGACTCAGGGAGAAGAGAAGGAAGAAGAAAAAGATGAGAGAGGGAGAGTGAGGGAGAGACAGGATGATGCAGAGACAAAGACACAGGGAGAAAGAGACAGACACACACAGAGGGAAGGAGATGGAGGAGCCTGCCACAGACAGGTCAAGGCACAGCAACCCAGGGAGCAGGAGACAGAGAGGGACTGACACACCCAGAGACCAACAGAGACAGTGGAGAGGGTGAGACACTCATAGGATGGGGCGGGAAGAAGGGGGAGACACTAAGTGATGGATAGAGTGTGGGGGGAACAGCAGGAGTAGGCAGAGGCTCGGAGGGAGGGGGTATGAGCAAGAGGAGGAGGGGAGATGCACAGCAACCCAGGGAGCAGGAGACAGAGAGGGACTGACACACCCAGAGACCAACAGAGACAGTGGAGAGGGTGAGACACTCATAGGATGGGGCGGGAAGAAGGGGGAGACACTAAGTGATGGATAGAGTGTGGGGGGAACAGCAGGAGTAGGCAGAGGCTCGGAGGGAGGGGGTATGAGCAAGAGGAGGAGGGGAGATGTCATCGCCA